ATGTTTAAATACTGCGTCGACGTGTCAAGTTAACGAGCCTGGATATCGCCTTAAAGCCGCGTAATTTAGAAACAATCGACAATTTTTCACTCGTGATGATCGTCGTCGTCGTCGTCGTCGCGTTCCGTTCCCTTTGCCTACGACGCCGACGCGATGGATGTAGTCGAGCGCGTGCCGACCATGAGAAGCCGGAACGAACCTTTGATGACCTTTTAAAATGCCTCCTGGAGCGGAGGCGTCTCAAGGGGGTGTCTCAAGGGGGCGTCTCAAGGGGGCGTCTCAAGGGGGCGTCTCAAGGGAAATATGCCGTGCCGGTAACTTAATTTGCATTGCTTTTTAAATTAGATTCTTCGTCCGATGAGCTGCTCTAAAGTGGCTGTCAACCTAAAATATACGCAGTGTAGATGAATTGCGTTTGTTTTGAAAATCCTTGCTGGTACGTACGAGCGAAATGAACAAATGAGTTCATTATACCGTATGCGTGATAATGTTTGCACCATCGCACAAATAAGGTTCCCGTTTCACCTGTGCATACAATGCCTTGGTTTTCTTTGCATGCACGTAACCTATAGCTCATACCGAAGTAGGCTGTGTATAAAAGAAAATGATTTACTTAGTTTGACAGTTGCACCATGATAAAGTGGAAGCGTATTCGTGATTTGTCCCACACGCAAATATCGCAAAAAGACATTTCAATCGCCGTGGGAGTGTCCCGGTGGACCATCAAAAGGGTTTTAGACCGAGAAAAGAAAGGACAACTATCCGCGAAGGTGGCCACAGGTCGTCCGAGGTTATCTCGGGTTCCGAGAGTTATCGCTGCTATCAAAAGGAAGATTCGGGTGAATTCAGTGCATTCAATAAGGAAAATGGCAAAGGAACACGGGATCAATGACTTTACGGTACGGAAGATCGTAAAGGAAGATTGCGGGGCGAAGTCGAGGGCACAGAAAAAAACTCACATCATTACCAACCGCATCCGGGAGCTACGAGTCGAACGATGCAAAAAAAATCTTGAACTTCCTTAAGCGAAAAAATCTGGTAATTCTGTTCACCGACAAGAGCATGTTTACCGTCGATCCCGTATCAAATTCCAGAACCGACCGGTATATTAGTTCTCTTCCGGTAAAAGACGTGGCCGACGAGCACAAGAGCGTGTATCTGACCAAGCATCCTCCTAGCGTTATGGTGTTTGGATTGGTGGCTTCCGATGGCAAAAAATTGGACCCGGTGTTCATTCCAGAAGGCGACAAGGTCAACACGGAGGTCAACACGGGATTTTAAGTAAGTATGTTCTTCCGTGGATCAAAGAACAGTACGGTTTGAAGCCAAATGTTGTATTTCAACAAGATGGGGTTCCATGCCACACCTCTAACCGCACTCAGAAGTGGTTGCAGGAACATCTTCCGTTCTGGGCGAAGGATATGTGGCCGCCATCCAGCCCCGATCTTAATCCGCTGGATTACTCAATATGGCGCGTCATGAAGGCCAAGGCCTAAACGCCACCCGAGTACAGCAAGCCTCAGACAAACATTGACCCTTACCTGGATAGAAATGGATCCAGACTACATTATTAGAACCTGACGTGCATTTCGGAAGCGTGTGGAGGCCGTAATTGCAGCAAGTGGAAACTCGATCGATGATTAACATAGTTTAAGACTCTGAGAAACATCCCACCTTTGAATAAATAAAAAAACTCAAAAAAAGAAATTTTTGAGAATTTTTTAATTTTGACATTGCTCAATGGTGCAAACATTATCACGCATACGGTACAATGCCAATGTCATTTGCGCAGTGACATTGAGGCGAATGATATTGTGTGAACTGATACTGACATCAGGTGGCTAGTGAAATTCAGCATTTTGCAGGTATTGATATTGATATTTTGCAGCACTGCCTGTTGATAGAGAATGTTGTTGGGAAAAATTCCACGGGATATTAGATCAGCAGGGTTCGTAGTTCCCGGAACATGCCTCCATTGTCTCCGTTCAGTCAGTCCTTGAATTTTCGCAACTCTATTGGCAACGAAAGTTGTCCATGTTCCTGCTGGTGACCTGATCCAGTGGAGTACGCAAGTTGAATCTGTCCAGAAATGAGCGCTACCTTCTACCTTCAGCGATTCTGCTACCTTTTCCCAGAGTTGGGCTGCCAGGAGTGCGCCACAAAGCTCCAACCGTGGTAGAGATTGAACCTTGAGCGGTGCTACCTTTGATTTCGAAGTCAAAAGGTGCACCGAAACCGTACCATTTTGTTCTTGACTCCGAACATAGATTGTCACACCATAAGCGACAATCGAGGCATCCGAAAATCAGTGGAATTCTACGGATACCGAACCTGGAGCAACCACACACCTTGGAATCCGCACATCGTTGAGCGAAGGGATTTGCTCGTGGAATGTTCGCCATTCCTTACCCACCGTTTCGGGCAGTGGGTCATCCCATTGTAGATTGTGCCGTTGCATGAAGATCTTTGCCGCTGTGATCGTTGCACCGAGCAGGCCCAGCGGGTCGAAAAGTCTTGCGATGACACTTGTCGCTTCGTGAGGATTTGGATGGCGTGAGTGGCGGAATGGTAAATTTGAACCGGAAGCAGTCTACGTTAGGAAGCCAAGTTAAACCGAATGTTTTTACTTCAGCATCTTGGTCCCAATGGATTCCATTCGAATCTGGAAGTGCTAATTCTCAGTTGGAATGCCCCTGAGTACGTCTGGGCAGTTCGATGCCCACTTACGTAGTTTTAATCCTCCGCTGATCATCATTGCGTCTATTTGTCTCCTTAATTCGATCGCCGCTTCCATGTAAACGTCTTCTTCGATCGTAAGTGCCGCTAATGGAAACTGCTTTCGTTCGTCGTTCGCCAGTTGTTGCAACGCACGAGTGGCCAGATACGGCGCGGACTTCGTACCATACGTCACCGTTAGTAACTCGTACGCCACTACCTTTCCATCAGGTGCTGTCCAGAGTATGCATTGAAGCGGTGTGTCATCCAAACTCGTCCAGAACTGTCGATACATCTTTTCGACGTCTGCTACGACCATCACCTGACGAACTCGACTACGCAGAACGATTGACCTTAAGTCTTGTTGAACTATTGGTCCAGCATACAGCGCATCATTTAGGGATATTCCTGAAGATGTTTTGCAAGATGCGTCGAATACCACCCTAACCTTGGTCGTGGTACTAGACTCTGTGTTAACGGGGTGATGTGGCAGAAAACACCGTTTAACTGCATGCTCTTCGCTGTCGTCCAATCTTCGCATGCGACCGAGCTCTAGGTATTCGGCCATGAAATCACAATACTGCTTCTGTAGACTTGGATCCCTTGCCAATCTTCGCTCCACAGCTCGCAACCATCTTAATGCGATGTCTCGGGATTCACCCAGTTCCACCAAAACTTCGTTGTTCTTGGGGAGGACTACTGTGTATCGCCCGTCGGATTCCCGCCTAACTGTACGCTGGAACTGCTCCTCACAGTGCGCTTCTTCTGGAGAGTATTTGTTAACGGCTCCTACTTCCTCGCAGGACCAAAACCGTGCCATTATCTCCTCGAGATTATCCGATACCGCCATGTTACAGCCGTACTTAGTACCTTGGCTGGATGAAGTGACTTCCCCTGACACTATCCACCCAAAAACCGATTCCGTTAGTACTGGTAGGTCCTTGCCCAGCTGTATCTCCCTTCCAGACGGGAAGTAGCTGAAGAAAGCTTGGATACCCAGAACCAAGTCAATCTTCCTTGACCGAAAGAACTCCGGATCCGCCAGTTCAATCTCTACCGGTATTTTCCATCCATTTGCCTGAACTGTAGATGTTGGCAGACAAGCTGTAACCTTCGTTAGGGCGACAAATTCCATCGATCGAGAGTACGATGAAATCCGAGATCTGACGACAGCCTTGATTTTTCGAGTTGCCTTCGTGTTCGACTGTCCGATACCAAGAATCGATATGTTGGCCTTCTGACTGGAGACATTCATCAACTGGCACAGATTTCCAGAGATGAAGTTACACTCGGACCCTGAGTCCAACAGTGCACGTGCTAGATAGCGAGAACCTTGATCGTCCTCGATCGCAACGACAGCTGTAGCCAGAAGAACCTGCAATAAGAGAAACTGTGCCGCGTTTGAAGAAGTAGATTCAACCGCTGAGGCATTCGCTTCCTTGGAGTTTAAAACATATATTCCGTATGTTTTAAAAATCTAAATTATCTGTATAGGGTTAACTGCCCCATTTCCGGCCTTTTAAGCACAACCCGCACTTAGTCTTTCATAATCTAGCGCAGTTCAGCACCAAATGAAATTTTTCATTACTGATGGCTTCCAAATTTGTTTAGCTTTCCGTACGTAAGATTTGATAAAGAGAAACCAATAGTTGAGATATTATCAAAAGTCTAACACTGGTTCTTAACGCCAAACTCGGCCTACGAATTCTAAACTCGGCCTAACGCATTGAAACGCAATTGAAACGCCAATAAATTCACTTCGGCTTATCGGATGAAGATAAAAATTGATTCGGTTGGAGCGCTTCTATTGTGTTTGGGAATAATGGGTGCAAACTTTCATATCACGCGTTCTAATTGACTTCGTTTGGTAGCTTATTAACTAAAGTATCGTACCAAAAGCATAATTGTCTTGTTAACTCTGAAATCATGGATTTATTTAAAGTTTTCTGCTCGATAGGCCCAAAATGGGCGATTAGGCCGAAATAGTTCTCTACCATATTTAAAAAAAAATCTCTTATCTTATAATATAGATATTATCTCTATCAAAATATTGGGAAAAATCTGAATGATTACAGATAAATCTGTATATGTGGCATCACTGGTTCGGGTCCCTGAACCCCTTACTACTTCGCCGTCCTTCTCGCGGAACGCACTATTCTTATTTTCCCAAACACATTACCCAAAACATATCAACGCGGTCTCCTGTCCCATTACACTCTATGAAACACGATCGTGCATTTTTTCGTCTAATCTCCATTTCATTCTCTATTCCTTTTTTTTTTTAGAATTACCTACTCACCAACTAAAACAAAAAAAAAGCAATCCCTCACTCGCGTCGTGTCAGGAGGCAGGAGTGCGTGCGGGGCGGTTGAGAATCCGTCAAGATCAACATCAACATCAACAACGACAGCAAGGCGAAGAAGGCTTCGCTCGCAGTAACGCACCGGGACCGGCAAACATCGTTCTCCTAGGGACCAGTCGGTCGTCACACATTCAGAAGATCGCTTCGTTCGTTCCGTTCCGTTCCGAGGGTTGCCGTTCACCGTACGAAATAATTACCGCAACGCGGCGCGCGGTAAAACAAAAACAAAAACAACAACAGCCAGTAGCAAAAGCAGCACACGATTTGGATGTTAATTAGTGCACGCATGGCAGAGAGTTTGCGGGGGAGGGACGCGAGAAAAGAAGAGGCGAAGAAGTGAGTTTTTATCGAGAGTAAAAGTGGAAAGCATTAGAACAGGAAGAAAATGACGAAGAAGCAGGGAGTGTGACCGGTCAAAGTGAAACAACAAAAACAACGTGAAAATAATAATAACAACAACAACAACAATCAAGCGAAATGAAAATGTTGGCAACAGCTGCTGCACTGGCAGTTCCGTCGTCGTCGCCGTCGGATTTTGTCGTTGATGGGGAAGGTTCGTGGTTGCGATGTTTTGGTTTGAATCGTCGTGGTCGTCGTCACCAGCGTCTTCTCCTTAGCAGCGCCGAGGAAGGTGCGGTCGCGGTAGTTATGTTGCTATTAAATGCTCGATAGTGGCACGGAGGCAGACACGCGATCGGATGTGAATTACAGTTGGCTTTCCCGCGGGTGTAATAGTGTTTTGTTTCCACTGTAATAAGGATCTTTCCCGTGCGCAATGTGTTGTTGTGAGGTGAAGGGGATTTTCATCGTCGACTAATGAAACGAAATGAGCAATGAGTGATGGATATTTTTCGGGTGAGTGACCATGATAAGGGTGGAAGGATCGAGGAATATTAGGTATTGTTTCGAATTATGGTCATTAGTTTGCTGGGGTGTTTGTGGAGGGGGAGAATGCGATGTGTCATGCCTTTTGAAACTGAGCATTAATTGTGCGTTATAATGAAGGGGCATGGTTCGAATAGAATAAATCTGTTGATAGTGAATGGATATTTGAAATGATAGGACAAGAGTCACAAGTCAAGGCAGGATAAATGACGAATCCATATCAGTTAATTGAATGCATGTCAGCTGCATTGGAAGTGCTGTCGTTGAGGGCAATCGCGGTTAGTCGATGACTAACTAGTTTTTTTTTCGGAAACATTAGTTTTTAAATGTTTGTGCTGTTATAATTAACTAGCTCAAACTTTACGACGACAGCACTGTGCATTTGCGAATTTCATGAATTTTAGGAAATGTGACGGTACTACATGCCTTGCAGTCAGGGCTGGTAGCAGGTCACTTTTTAGTAGCAAGGTCACTATTTTCAAGACAGTCACTAAAAAGTGCTTTAAAAAAGAATCACCAAAGTCACTTATTCTTGTAATCAGTCACTATTTTGCTTTTTTTTTTTTTATTATAGTCACTTTAACACTCTTGGGTCATTCGTGACTTGTCCGGGGGTGAGATTTGAACTCTTGACTTTGGCGTGAGAGGTATGGATGTTAACCACTACGCAGGGGTCGCCCCGACTATTTTGCGATTTCAAAAATCAATGTTGGTCGCGGCATGAAAGTGATCTGATTTTGATCCAGAGATGATATTCATACTTACGTACGGCTTCCTCAAATCAACCTTCCCGAGTTCGACGGAAATTTTGAAAAATGGCTGCCTTTTCACGACACGTTGAAGGCCCTAATCGATTCTTCCCCGGAATTAAGTGGCATCCAAAACTTCCACTACTTACGGGCATCTTTGAAGGGTGATGCGTTGCAATTGGTTGATTCTTATCCCATGAGCGAGGCTAATTACGAGGTTGCTTGGAATGGCTTGGTAGCACGATTCTCCAGCGGTTACTTTCTGAAGAAACGTCATTTGAACGCGATGTTCGAGTTTCCGAAAATTTGTAAGGAATCATCTACAGGTATCCATGACCTCATCGATTGCTTCGAGCGCAACACAAAAATTTTGGACCAGTTAGGGGAGCGAACAAGCATTCACTCAAAAGCGTTGGGAAGAACATGTGTCAGACGAAGCTGAACCATCTTTCGGTGTTCTGGTGGAGTTTCTGAAAAAGCAAACGAGGGTACTTGATGCAGTTTTGGTCGATCAAAAGGTGTCTGCTACACAAGGCTAATTTTCATCGTTTGAATTCAAATCACGTCCTAAAATTTCGATCAACGCAGCTACCGAACGAAAGGTTCAAAATTGTGTTTCTTGTGGGGAACAGTACTCGATCGTACAATGTTCTTCTTTCAATCAACTTCCGGTGGACAAACGGCTGCAACTAACCAACTCAAAACGGCTTTGCAGTAATTGTTTAGGTCGAAATCACATGGCACGTGATTGTCCCTCTAAGTTTCGCTGTAGAACTTGTTGCAAGAAACATCACACATTACTTCATCCTGGATTCCCTGGATCCGGTTCTACTTTTACTCCTGATTCGGAAGCTCCAAACGCACAAAAGACACAGGTTTCGACATCATCTACTTCGGAAAGTGCTACAAGCTCTGGTGGTACGGTTACCAAGCTCGTTCGCATCTATTTCATCAAACATGGCGGTTGGAAATCCTGGAAATCATGTCTTCTTGCTCACGGTCCTACCCAAAATCAAGGACAGCTGGGGTAGGACGCATCTAGCACGCGCCCTGTTGGATTCTGGATCACAGGCAAACCTGATGTCAGAAGCATTCTCTCAGTTACTCAAGCTACCACGGCGTGCAAAACGGGTGGAGATCAGTAGCATCGGTCAAACACGAAAGAACACTGCGCACGAAGTATCGACATCCATTTCATCACGCATTAAGGACTTTTCTATGTCAATGAATTTTCTGGTTCTGGGGCGAAAACTCGTCGGGACTTTACAAGATGTGAAAGATGAAGAACGGACAGTTTACTACCTCCCACACCACCCAGTTTTCAAAGAGTCTAGCTAGATAACAAAAGTCCGGGTAGTTTTCGACGGCTCTGCGAAGGACTTTTACATGGATGATTTTCTCTCGGGAGCGGAATCGGTTGCAGAAGCGAAGTTGCTGAGAAGTGAAGTTCAATCTCTCATGGCCGAAGGAGGATTTGAACTACGAAAGTGGAGCTCTAATTCACCGGAAGCATTGTTTGATCTACCCCCTGATGCGCTCGAAGTCCAAACGACGTTACATTTCCATGGACAGCAGAAGATAAAGACGCTTGGAGTGGCATGGCAGACGGGAACAGATGTGCATCGATGTACCTGCAGCAAGGGCAGAAGAGCAGTGGACAAAGAGACGAATCTTTTCAGCAATCGCTCAGTTGTACGATCCTCTCGGATTAGTTTCGCCGGTCGTAGCATGGGCGAAAATACAAATGCATCCCACTGCGACCTAGCAAGAAGTACAGTCGACTTGTTTCGCGCTCCGGTATTTCGGAAGTTTTCTCGGTATTCGGTTGGTTTAAATTATCAGTTTATTCTCGCTTAGTGATTACTGGCATAGTACCCGGTTAAACAATTATCTGAAAGTGAGTTTTTCTGAGAAGAAAGTGTGGTTTTCGGCGTCATCGGAAAGAAAATTGTTCACTTGCAATTGGATATTCGCAAACCAATTTGCGCTTCATCGGTGCGTGATCACGCATACCTGCACACAGATCATCGTCATCGAGTGTCAGCATCTGCCTCCGCATTTATACCGGTCATCCATCATCGTGTGTCCAGCTGAGTGCCGAGCCTCATACAAGCACACCACTACAAAGATCGCCCGCACACGCGCATCGAAGGTCACCCACGCTGCGCGTCGCTCCGCTGCTGCTGTGTAATCACTCGGTGGTAGTAGTATAGTATATAAATAGCGTCCTGTCATTCATGGTTCGTCTCAGAAAAGCCCCCGATCGCGAGCCTATCCAGATGACTCGACTGGGCCATGGGTTGTCTACTTTCAGCCCAAAAACAAACCTTTGAACTTGATGCAAATTTCCACTGATCTGACGAAGCGATACTCGGCCGTGACCGAAATCACGAAGGTTAGGCATAATAAACTTCGTGTTGTCGTTTCTAACCTGAAGCAGGCTAACGAGATTGCTGCCTCCCAGCTCTTTACGATTGAGTACAGGGTTTACATACCAGCTCGTGATGTGGAGATCGAAGGTGTGGTCACCGAAGCGAGTCTGACCCCCGAGATCTTGGAGAAGCAGGCGGTTGGCCGTTTCAAGAACCCCTTGCTCCCCCCGGTGAAGATACTGGATGTCCAAAAACTGGGCTCAGTATCTGTCAGCGAGGGTAAAAAGAGTTTTACCCCCACAGACTCGTTTCGCGTGACCTTTTCTGGTTCAGCCCTTCCTCAGTACATCGAGTTGGGAAAACTTCGGCTACCTGTGCGCTTGTTTGTTCCTCGGGTCATGATCTGCCAAAACTGCAAACAGTTGGGACATACGGCCTCTCACTGTGGCAGCAAGGCACGCTGTTCCAAATGCGGGGAGAAGCACGAGGATGGCGCCTGCACAGTCACGGCACCAAAATGCGTGTACTGCAAAGGATCTCCTCCTCATGGTCTCTCGTCGTGTCCGGTGTACAAACAACGCGGGGAAAAACTAGAGCGCTCTCTTAAAGAACGTTCCAGGCGGTCTTTTGCAGAAATGCTTAAGACAGCCAAGCCATCGACCAACGAAACAAATCCCTTCGCTCTTTTGTCAGATGACGAGTCTGGCTCTGTCTTGGCTGAGGAGGGAGTTTCTTTCAGTTTTCCGGATGGTTCTGCCCGGAAACGAAAACGCATCCGTTCGCGGAAAGTTGCAGATCAAGAACCTCAAATCAGCTTGCCCAAATCAAGGAGTGGTGGAAAAAAGGAGACTTCTACTCCTCCTGGATTCCACAGAACTGATTATACCCAGGATTTTCCACCTCTCCCGGGGACATCCAAAACCCCCGATGCCCCAATTTTCAGAACACAAGCCCCTTCTTCATCTGGGTTGTTCTCATTTGATAACATTGTGGACAGTATCCTCAATTACCTCGATATTTCTGATCCTCTGAAAAGCATTTTTCTGGCAATGCTTCCTACTGTGAAAACCCTCTTGAAGCAGTTGACATTGAAGTGGCCCCTCCTTGCAGCAATCATCTCCTTCGATGGATACTTTGTAAACTTGCAGAAAGAAAGTAAAACGCGTGCTTCGTAGTAGAGAGAAGAATAACTAGTAGTTTTATTTGACGTTTTTTTTTAGGTACACGACAATCGTGGTTTGGGTAATTCAATTGCAATAAACTCAGTTACACTGTTAATATCCCCCCTCAATTAATTACCCCAAGAATCTGAGCTTACGGAATCTAGGCGAAGCCAACCCCTTCGTCATCAAATCTGCTACCTGTTCCTCGGTTGGTAAGTATTTCAGTTTAACACCTTTCCCTTTTGGACAAGTTCTCTTACAAAGAAGTTTTGAATTTCAACATGCTTCATTCTCTTATGCTTACGTGGCTCCACCGTTACCGCGATACAGGGCTGGTTATCCTCGTATACGCTGACCGGCTCCACCACTCGCAGGCCGGCAGAATTCAGCACGTTCACAATCCAGACGACTTCGCAGCTCGCCTGACACAGGGCCATCAACTCTGCCTCGGTCGTCGACAAAGCCACCGACGACTGCTTCTTGGTAGTCCATGCCACCGTTGACCCAAACAGCTTGACGACGTATCCGGATACCGAACGGCGGTCATTAGGGTCATTGCCCCAATCCACGTCCACGAACGCTTCCAACATCTCCGCTGATTCCGTACGACGGTGCAGTAGCTTACAGTCGATGGTGCCTTTTAAGTACCTGAGTACTCGCTTGAGATGCACCCAGTGCTCGTCGGT